GTAGGGAGGAAAAAAAAAAGCCTAGATAGATCTCACTTCTGTGCTCTGCCAGGCAGGAAAGAGAGTGTCCAAGAAATACAAATACTTTTCTTCTACAACGTTGTAGTGATTTCTTTTTAGGTCATCATTGGGCATTGTATTTCATTTCAGTGTCATCACTGAAATGTTAAAACCCAATTTTTGAGAGAATATGGTTGAGAAGATGAGATTGTATCCAAGCAGGAGCATTTGACATAAGTCTTACGAATATTGTCTGGCTTTATAAATGTGGGGTTTCTTGATATTGATGAAAGAAACACTATCTTTCATATCTGGCTCACCATTGTCATGGCCTAGTCCTCAACTGTGGCACTCAAATGTGCTATGCAATAGAATAGCTACATTTAAAAAAGTTAACTTCAGTCCCTTTTTACAGCTTTTTGTTGTAATTTTTGTTTGTTTGTTTGACTCTACTCCCAGGTGACACTTTCAGATGCATGAGTCTGACAAAATTGTTTACAATAAATAGAGATTAAAATATGAAAGGAATAATGTAAGTAGGTGTTAAGTTCAACACAAAGTAAATTTTTTCCTGTTGATTTCATTGCTGTGTTTAATTAAACCATAGTTCAGCATGTAAAATTGTTTGCTTTTTATGCTTCTATCTGTCTTGATGTTTCTGGAAAAACGAGGACATCCTGCAGTTCGAATTCTGCTTGGTCAAATATGCAGTATAATAATTCCCTCTATTCTGCACTGTTACATCCTGATGCTTCCCAATGGAGTATTGTTCTGATGCAGCTTTAAGCTTGTTGTGGGCTAACAAACTATCAGTCAAAATGTATTTCAGTAATTCTTTTGCAGACAGTAACATAACTAACAGCTTATACTAACAAAAAAACGTCTCCTAGTCTGAAACCTGTATTGTTCTTTCCATCTCAGTCTTAGCATTCTTAAAAGACTTAATTTTGCATTTAGCAAAGTTATATAAAGTAGTATGACCAATGTAGCCTGTTTTAATAAATGGGAACTTCCTCAGCTAGTGCAGTTGAGGAGCTGAATAAGTTTAAAAACTTATTAGGAGGATAATGACTGCCATAACCATAACAAATAAAAGCTGTTAATTCAAAGAGTTGGCTTGTGTTTAAAGTACAAATCGTGGGGCCAGTTTCAAATGCTGTTAGGTGAAGATGACTATATGAACTTTTGCCTATTTCTTCAAGGGTGACCATGATCCTAGTAGAAATTTAGTTACGGTCCCATATCTTCGCTTGATACAACATATTTTGCTTGTAGCTATTTAAAACCTCCACAAACCACAGATCTTTTGATTTTAGCTGTTAAGAATTGCTTGGAGCCCGTAAAGAAACTATAATGGTTAACCTTTTATGCTGTAGATGATACTTAAAATGTACCGAAAAAAAAAAAAATTTTACTTACGTGTGTCATTCCCATACAAACAAAGCCTTAAGTGATCTTGCCTAAAAGCCTCCTTGTGTTAGTGGTAACAAATATCTTTAACCTTATGACAATGAGGTATGTTCTACTGTGAAGGACCTGCTATTTAGGTTAGAAGTGTCTAGGTTCATCAAGTTCATAAAAGTTACTTCAATGCATTTTCTGAAATAATAATTCTCAGTTTAACTTTCTTTCCTGTTTCCCTTTTTCATTTTGGTCCTTACCTCAGTTTTCTCTACTTTGTCATTCTCTGATCCATTTGAGCAATTCACCTAACTTTTGAAAACTTAAGTCTGGTGCTATCCCCATTAAATTGTGCTCCACATCCTTAATTGTTTTGTGCTGTCAGGAAAACGTAAATCCAGCTTGGGAATTCATGCTAGCAAGGCATAAGTTTGTTCTAACTTTGAGCATGTTGGCAAACCAATAGATAGATTGGGTCCTGAGACCTTCAGACCTCTGACAGGAAAATGAACACACTTTACGGAGGGGTAGGCAGATAATTTTGTTTGTCAAATGCTGAAGTCCTTAATGAAAGGTCAGGGCGTGTAGCTAATCTGAAACAACAAAGTCATTGCCGTAGCATTTGATGAAATCAGCTGGTATTGGCTCTTCTACACAAGTAGATCTGTTGTACTTTGTCCAAGAATTGGAAGAAATTCCCGATAACATGATTAAGAATAAAAGATTAACACCTTAATATCAGAAGAGGAATTATCAATGTGAAACATTTTCTTATGAACCGTAGGTCAAATGTGTAGAGGCATTCATTCCTCAGTTCTATCTTGATTGTGTGAGGCTCTGATGTTATTAAATAAACCTGCAATTTTAGTCATGTTAAATACAAGTGACAATTAAGGGTTGTTTAAGGAGTCTTAATAACTTGCTTAAAAAATGATCTGTGCTGAAATTCTTACGTGTAGTACTGAGGATTTCTCTTCAGCCACGCTAAGCTTAGCAAGCACCTCGGTGTGAGATAAAGCACTTGCTGCTTTCTCTCAATACAGACAAGTACCTAGTTGAAACAGCCACCAGGTTACACTAATTTACCTGAGCTTGGATGGAGCTGACCACAAAATTCACAATTCATGGATGGAATTCAAGTGGAATTTTATGTTGGGATGAGGGAACCCGATTAAAGCAGTGTCTGCGTTAGGCAAACTGAGTTGTGTCTCTTCAGCAGTGTGTGTTTTGTTGGTACTCTTTCCTGAAGCCAATGAACCATATTAATGATTTTTATTTAAATTGCCACGTGATGTTCTTAATGGGCACCATGCTGCTTTGGAAGTAATTTACAACACTACACTGATTATTATGTGAGTTTTCTGAAATGGTTTAATTTGATTTTATGATGAAATTAGTCCAGTCAGGTTTGAATCTCCCATGGCTCCAAAAGAAGGGGATCTTACAACTATCTGAACAGGAATGTAGTGCTAAAGCCTGTAAACGTATGTGATAATTTACAGTTGTGAACACAACTGATTTCACTATTCTAATAGTAATCAGTAGAGTGTCTTGCATACAAGTGGTATCCTGTAGAGGCAGGAGTTTTAGTGCTTGTAACAAATGGTAGAAGTTGCTACCTTCATTTTTAAGCCTCCTATCTGTGAGTTTAGAAGTGATGAAAGAAGTATTTTTATGATGGAACTGTTTGAAGTAGTTTGCAGCTTACTCCAATCCTCAGTTTTTATATGCTACAGATAGCTCATGAAATAAAGTAGACATGATCACAACAAGCAGGAATTGCAATGATCTAGTAACTGTTGAAGCAATCTCAGAGACTGCTCCTGAAGAAGTTGGGCCCTCAGGAAGGCAAAACCGAGATTCAGAAGGGGAAACTTGAAGATGAAAGATGCACATTACTGTGATGGTAACAGTCAAGAAGGCAGGAAAAGTTTTGGAGAATAAGTCACCTGCACATTTGGTATAAATATCTCTATTCTCTATTTCTTTCTATCAAATCATCAACCTTTTAAAAACAAATCTAATAAAGTACTTGCGGTTCTTATATACAAAAATACTGGTCCAAAATTGCTTTCTTCGTGTATTTTGACATAGCTGATACTTAGCCTTGAATATAGAGCCAGTAACTTCACCGGGCTAATAACAGTTTCTTAGATGCTTCCTTCTTACTGGTGTGACCAGAGCTGCTTAGTCTTAAGTAATTCAGTACTTACCTTCTGCCCAAGCCCCTTCAGTAGGAAGGCACTAGTTATTGACTGTATCAGAGAATCCAGTTTGGGCTGCTGTCCTTCAAAACATAACCAAGAAGGTCATGAAGGGATTCTAATATTCATTCAGGCACTAGGAAAGGTGGGAAGCTGGACCCATGTCTTCAGGATGGGGCCCTGAGAGCCATTTCATAGGCTGTTTTGGGATGTTGAGAAATCTAGTCTTTCTGTTGAAGATGCCTATTGAGGCAGAGAATTCAGAGAATTTACATATGGGGAAAAAAAATGTCTGGGCTATGGCAGGCATAAAAGAAAAAGAGTGCCAGTCTGCTTCCAGCTCCAAATATTGTTCAGGCAGTTCTCTTAAATACAAAACACATCAACTAGTCCTTTGAATAGAAACTAGAATTTCAGTGCAGCCTTGACTTGACCCATGGAGAGCAATTGCTGCATCTGTTTGTAAAGAAAACTTGTTGCTTAACCTACTTGTACAATGCTTTTAATTTCTGTGGCAAGTTAGAAGAAAAAAATTACAGCTGTTTCAGGAGCCATAATGTAAAATATCACTGCCGTGTGCCCAGGTGTAGCTGTTAAATCAAACTGTAATAATAAAGGCAAGGAGGCTACTTCATGATGGCTGTGACTTTGTGCACTTAATCTTATCCGTAGAACTGGATTACATAGTTTTTAATTATGGCAAACATGGAGTACAACTGTCTGAACTGAAAGGAAATTAAGTGATGCTGCTCCTGCGGAGCACATTGAGGGATAGAAAGCTGCAGCAGCATGTGAATTATAGGGTATAGTTACACCTGCATGAAATATCCACCATGTTGGGACTTCTGGAGTGTCCTTGAGCACCACTCACTACTTTTGTATGAAACAAGCAGTCTTAACTGTTTGGTTTTTTTCCCTCCCCTCCTCAAACTATACATCCATATTATTTAAAACTCAGTTATTTATGGCTACAGCTTGCAGCATTCAGGAGGGAGAGTGCAATGGAGTCTCCTCACTCTGTTTGACCCAAGCGTCAGGAATTCCCTGGTTCTAATCCCACTACTCAGGTAGAGCCCTAGATAGGCAGACTATGTGTGAAAAAAAAAAGCAGCAATATGACCCAGTACCAGCACGGAAAAACTTATGATAGCTATAAATTTATGTCATGAAGAAATCAGAAAGGAGGCTTCTGTTCTCTCTGTAAAGCCCTGACTCAAAGCTGTAGCTGAGAAATGAGTGGGCCAACAATGTGTCTTTAGCTCGTTGTCACAGGTCTTCATACCAGATAAATCATCTTTGGTAATGTATCCTTGTGATGATGGGCAGCGTGCCTGCCTGACGTGACAATTGGTACATTTGCAAATATTATGTACCTTGATATTTTAATCTTTATTTATGCAGGGGCTCAAACCAATAGTTTCCACTGAATCCCCAGCTCTGATTTTTGGGACAACAAGTAAACTTGCTTCAGATTTACCAGCAACTGATTCTTTCTTGGGTAAAAACAAGGTGCCAGACCTACAGAAACTTTTTCAGGTAACGACAACTTTGAGAGTAACTTAAAACTGGAGCGTGGGACATACCTTTCCTTATTTAAATGTGGCTAACTACTTTTGTCATTCTACAATACCAAAATTTTGTAAACTCTAGTTAGGAAAGTGTTAAGTGCAGTATAACCTATGTACTTGTAATATACTACCAGGTATATATGCCTTATATAGGAGATAAATACAGAAAGTGGGGAGTCTGGTAACGTTGTCTTTTCACCAGCCTCAGAAAATGCTTACTGTATTGACTGTTGGAAGCACTTTCTGGGAATCCAGAGCAGATCATTACTGTTTTGTGTATAATAATTTGAATGTTACTGAAGCTGTTTATAATGCAGTATAAGAAGAGCACAGTAAAGTTTTCAAAGCCAGTTTGTTAGCTATGCAATTTCTAAGCATACTAGGACTTTTCATAAAACAAATCAGTTAAGCATTTTTTTTTAATATCAGGAATGTGCTTAATATAACATACTCTTTTCTCTCTTACATGCCCCTTGCATTTGGAATGTGTCAGTCTGACTTGGTGAATAACCTTTTATATGTATCTCTTCACATTCTTTTGTTAGTGACACTTTTCCCATCCAGGTCCTCTTTAGAAATATTTCAAGATATATTCTTCCTGCCTGCACTTAACAGCTTTGGCTAACAAAATTAACGCACCTTTGCATTTATCTTGCTAAATGAAAAACACAGAATACACTTGATTGTAGATAGCCTGTTTATCAGGAGGTTTCCCTAGTGGAAGTCTCTTCGTTTACCTGAGGTAGCTTGTTCCTTGTGGCCTTGGTATGAATGTTCATTTCTCTTTTTTATTTGTTTTCTTTTTCAACTCTTCCCACAGAAAGCAGATGGACTGCCAGTACACCTGAAACGAGGCGTTCCAGATAAGCTGCTTTATCGGACCACTATGGCTCTAACAATAGGAGGGACTATCTACTGTCTAGTAGCACTGTACATGGCCTCACAACCAAGAAACCAAAAGTAAATGAACCACAACTCATGGGACTCGTGACACTTCTCTGAAGGACCTCCTGCATGTATCTCTGTGCACTTGCTTTAATTCTATGATCATATAGGGTTCATCATTCAGATCAAATTTCTTGGAGAAAATGTTTTTAAATCGGTTGCCTTATGTGTTCTAGAAATCAATATAAACAGACTTAAAGACAGCATCTTGACATATGGTTGTAGCTTTGCGTTTGTTGCCTTACAGGAATGTATGAACAGTTGGAGAAAGTTAAGTTTTTCCTTCTTTCCCTCCCCCAACTTAATGTTAGAGAGGGGACAGGACAAATACTTTGTGGGTTATACTTCTCATGCCTTAGTGGGAGGATGTTGCTGGTTTCCATAACAGTAAAAGCAAATAATTTAATTATTATAACATGCTGGTAACCTGTTTCTGTCATGCACAGCTTATTTTACATAAGCAGGTGGCAGTGGAACTTTTCCAAATACTGGTATATTGTTAAATATTTGTGACAAAGGACTTATCTCCTTGGAGCGTTCAAAGTGGATTTATTCTATAATTTAGCATCACTGTATACAGCAGAGTGCACCAGTATTATAGCATTAGTTATACCAGTTTTTGGACTTTCATTTGTCAAACTATCTTATTGTGCAATAAAGATAACTACATGACTAATAAAACAGGCAAGTCTTGAAAGTTTCAGACCACTTCAGCTGGCCTGATAGTGAAATAAACATATCAGTACACTTTTGTTTAAGTTCAACTTGCAGATCTCAAACCAGACAATTAATTCAGCTACCTTACTGTAATCTTTTTGAGATGGTAAGCCTGTTGAAACCCTCTCAGAAGTCACTGGGTGTTTTGCTATAATTTTTGGTGGAACAGGTCACCATCATAGCTCAGCTGTGTGTTACTTTCAGTGCACGAACATATCTATGTACACACATACACACATTTTCTTTTCTGTGTGGGTGGGAGAGCAGCCAATAAAACTCTTTATTCATTCGCTTTCCCTTGTAATAGCATAGCCTTGAACTGCAAGTTTCACACAAGTCTTCACAAAAAGCATCCTCTAATTTGATAGATCCTCCTCTGTCTGTGAACACGAAGTATTCAGTCTTGGTCACCCAGGCTCTAGATAAGCATGGATTCACTAAACTCTGTAAAGACTCATCTCTCCTAGAACTTTGTGGAAATCACCTTCCGTGGAAATCACCTTCCATGTAAATAAGGAAAACAGTTGATAAAGGAACCTAAAATTCCCATTTCTTCAGTCTTTTACTAAAAACATTCTGATTTTTTTCTAGTCAAGTTATATCAAAGCCTTGTTACCGTTCTGTAGGAAAGAAAATAGCTGCTTGTACTGTGATCTCAGGTTTCAGTCAATGTGGGTATTTCAGGGCGGGAGAGATTAAGTCACTGAAAAAGAAATTTGTAAGGACAGCAAGACTCAAAGAATAGCAGAGAATAATTGAGTTCTCCAGGAATTAACAGCTGTGTTGCCTCTACTGATAAAATATTAAATGTTTTTATCCTCAGTAGCTCATGCTTCCATGGCACTAAGAATCTTGTGCTGTAGGCTGTTCAATCCTATTTAAAAAAAGGAAAGGAAAGAGAAAGCAACGTGTAGGGTATTGTCTGTCTTCTGTGCATATCATATTAAGCACTGCCTACAAGAATCTTCTAATAAAGGATACTTTGCCCACAGACTTCACAGGTAGATTTTCATGAGGATGAGTTTTGCTCAGAGAATTTCTATGCTCTTAGCTTTGGTGTGTTTTGTTTTTTTTTTTAGAAAAACAACTATTACAGAGTTCACGTAAAAGGTAACTTTCTGCTTGTTGCTAAGGCAGGTGAGGATAAAGTAACTAAACTGTTACCCCATAGCTCATTAACCAGTGGAAATACTCTTCCAAATACTTGTGGAAAGAACAACAACAGAGACTTATCACTCAAGTCCACCTTTCTTAAAGGGAACTCAGCTAGGAGATTGTGTTCATGTATTGCTATAGAGGTCATACTTGGAGCTAAGGCTATCAGAATCGTCTTCCTATTGCCCTGGGTCTAGCTTTTTCCACATCTTTGTCAGTAGCTAAAACCACACATGCTAAAAGGAAAAGAAAACACCATCAAATTTTGTAAATAACCAGATACTAGATAATCCATTGTTTTCTTTGTTTTCACAGTGTTTGGATTTTGAAAAACTATTTTCACTTTGCCCTTCTCAAAAAAAGCTGACCCAGTTGAAGCAGGATGAGAATGCTGCTTCTGCTTGTCAGATTCACGTCCCTGGTTCAGCTGGAGGTTAAAGAACAAAGAGGCAGAGGCACTGCTCATCTGGAGCTGTGGGGCAGGGCTCCAGTCATGAGAGGAAGAGGAGACTGCATTTCTATATTCCCACAGTAAAGCGCTCTGAAGAACACGAAAGCTTGCAAGCTCTAACCAGAAGGTTAGGCTGCGGCAGCAAAATCTTGCCTCTTTTCTTGGTTAGTTTCAAGATCATCATGAAGAAATTACAACATGGTAAATCCTTTTCCTTCCTAGGAAAAAAGCTCTGTTAAATATCTATTAAAAGTATTTCTGATGCTAGATGTCTGTGAGGATTCAAGAGCATTTCAGTGTTTTGAATTATTGTTTGAGACAGAGAGACCTGATCTTATTCTTAAACCTTCAAGACACCCTTACCTTTAAAAGTAGTCTGTCCCTGGCCTGATGTTAACTACAGTCTTAAAGTGAGGAGAACGCGGAGCGAGTTGCAGTGTCAAGAAGGCTACTTCAATATTTTGAGTTGTCATCCCCAGAAGTAGGAATCTGACTTGGGTACTACAACTTCATTATATGTATGTTACATTCTGCTTTTTTTAAAGACCTTCTCAGTTTTGTTTTAGAAATTATGCAACCTACCAGCACCAAGAACTGAGAAAACAAGATGCATTTTTAAGCGATAGCTTATACTATAGTGTTTTGGCTTGAATGCACTGTAGAGAATAAATTATAATAAGCTTTCATACCCCAAGGGTGCTGAGTTTGGAAGGGAAAGCAGATGAGATTTACAATACTCAAGAAGAAAATTATCTCATGGATAATCATCCATCCCCCATAGCATTATCTTATTGTTGAGAGACAGTGGTTTTCCTTCTTAAATGATCTCTCCGGCAACCTAAATTCAGTAGTTATATCGTTGTAATGGTTTTTAAATAAGATCTCACTCTCTACTTTTTATGTGGGAGTAGTAGAGTAAATGCACTTGAGAAGATGTTGATAATAGGTACGTATGTCTTTCTGCTGATTTAAAACTAAAAGTATGTTAAGGAGAGGATTCTTCCACAGTATTTCAGTGCGACCATACCTTCTCAACCTGCTTTTACCTTAACATTTTTAATTATCAATAGACTGGTTATTTCAATACTAAGACATTAATTGGTGAAGCTTGTCAAATTAAAAGGCACTGTAATGAATAAAAGCAAGAGAAACTAGGAAAACAGGAATCTAATCTTACAGTAATCAAAAAGCTGAAGAGAGTGTTTAAGATCTGTTTCCTCACACCTATATTCATAGTACTTACTCCCTCTTTGCCCTACTTCCTCCAAATTCAAGCCTTCCAAGAAGCTTCAGAAGAGTCACAGATACAGTTTTTTCCCACTCCTGTTGCAAACCATTACCCTTGCAGATCGTAAAAGTTAAAAAAAATTGAAATGCTTTTACACAAAGAAAAAAATGCATGTTAGATAAGTTACATGTAAAACCATGCTAAGCTGTTCTAAACTAAAAAAAGTTACAAGCTACCTGCATTTTATGACATAGTATACTAACCTTTTTCCCCTCTCTAGCCCTTAACCTCCGTCACAAATTTCACAGGAAGCCGAAGTTTGATCTCTGTTTTAAAATCGAAAGTGGGAAGAACTTTCCTGTCATCTAAACATTAATTTTAGCAATAGGCATGAAAAACAACCTTGTAAGTATTTTACATATCCAGTACTAATTGCATCTTAGTTTATTAAAGATTACTTAATTTGAATCGCTTCCAGTTAGCTGCAGTGCAAGCAATGTGCAGATTGCTAAGAAGTAGAAGCGTTATTTGCTGTGAAAAGGAGTGCAAGCATGCCTGTGGATCAGGGAATAGGATATACGCTATCAAGTATCAGTATGGCATCTCACTAGTACCAGATCTTACCTACTGGTGCTTCTTATATGATCCTAGACTGCTTTTGGGTATGGCAGTAGAGAGAAGGAGCCATTTTATGTGTACACCCCAAAATACAAGAAAATTAAATTCAAGAGTGTTTCTCCCTGCTCCCAGACTTGCAGGCAGCCCGTATCTGGCCTACAAAAAGGCGTTCATCATCCTTTGGCTCCAAAGAGATGATACTCTGTGCTAAAACATGGCTTTGCCCAGTGGATCCAGTGCTCCAAAACTAGGGGGTGGGAGGGAGGGAGAAATATTTTG